GTCCAAGATGTGTCGAAGGCAGCGCATGTGGTAGGCATTCAACTGTCTTTCCTGACGGGCGCGGAGTGTCCAAGACTCACTGCCATAAAGAAGAGTGCTCAGGACACAGGCTCTGTAAACCTGAATCTTAGTATACTCAGCCAATTGTTAGCCCACACTCTCTTTGTCAGTCTGGACATGGTAGTAGATGCCTTACCGATGCGTTTGTTTAGCTCCGTATCAAGAGAGAGGGAGTCAGAGATTGTGAAGCCCAGGTACACGAAGTCGTGAACGACTTCCAGTTTGGAATCGGAGATGCCGATGTCAGGTGGGGAGTCCACTCCTTGTCCCATGACTTGTGTTTTCTTCAGGCTGATGGTGAGTCCGAAAGCCTGAGAGGCCTCGCTGAAGCAGGTCATGAGCCGTTGGAGATCTTCGGCTGAGTGGGCAGTGACTGCTGCGTCGTCGGCAAAAAGGAAGTCACGCAGACACCTCAGCCGAACCTTTGTCTTGGCACTCAGCCTGGCGAGGTTAAAGAGCTTTCCATCCGACCTGGTCCGGAGGTAAATGCCTTCCATGACAGATCCGAAGGCGTGCCCCAGCATAACTGCGAAGAAAATCCCGAATAGGGTTGGAGCCAGTACGCAGCCCTGTTTTACTCCACTTCGGATGTCAAAGGCGTCTGATGTTAGGCCATCAAAGACCACGGTGCCCCTCATGTTCTTATGGAAAGATCTGATGATGCTGAGGAGCCTGGGTGGGCATCCAATTTTGGGGAGGATCTTGAATAGGCCATCCCTGCTGATGAAGTCGAAGGCCTTCGTCAGATCTATGAAGGCTACGAAGAGTGGCTGCTTCTGTTCCCTGCATTTCTCCTGCAGTTGTCTGAGGGAAAAGACCATGTCGATGGTGGACCTGTCAGCTCTGATTCCGCATTGTGATTCTGGATAGACTCTCTCTGCAAGTACTTGGAACCTCTTCAATGCTACTCGAGCAAACAGCTTTCCGACAATACTGAAGAGGGAGATTCCACGGTAGTTGTTGCAGTCGCCCCTGTCACCTTTATTCTTATATAGCGTGACGATATTGGCATCCCTCATGTCCTGTGGCACCTCTCCTTCCCAGCAGAGGCAGAGAATTTCATGCAGCTCCATGAGCAGGCTACCTCTGCAGCACTTCAAGGTCTCAGCAGGAATGCCATCTTTGCCAGGAGCTTTACCAGAAGCAAGGGAGTCTAGGGCATCGCTGAGTTCTTCGAGGGTCGGCTCGCTGTCGAGCTCCATTAACACAGGCAGACACTCAATGGCGCTCAGGGCGTCTTCGGTGACCACATTGTCCCTGGCGTATAGCTCAGAGTAGTGCTCGACCCAGCGCTTCAGCTGCAGTGTCTGGTCCTGAATCACCTCGCCAGTGGCGGATTTCAGAGGAGCGGTCTTCCTCTGGATTGGGCTGAGGGCCTGCTTGATGCCGTCATACATTCCCCTTACATTGCCTGTGTTCGCTGCAGTCTGTATCTGGGAGCAGAGCTGGAGCCAATAGTTGTTGGCACATCGCCTGGCGCTCTGCTGCACTTTGCCTATATATGCACAATATGCTAATATATTATATATTAATTTATACTTAAGAAAATTCCCGTTTTGAATGAACAGCTTGTAACAATTTATGAATGCACCTGTGGGGTCGACCGCTGGATGTAATGGACTTGAGTCAAGGATGGGTTGCCCAAACAATTGCCAAAGTCCATTCCATGCACCTGCTAAACCCCTTGTTTATGAATTAAAACGTTTTACACACGACTCACAACTGCTGACGTTCGAACACTTCCAGAACAAGTGCTTCACTGACGACTTTTGTTTGAACCACAACGCTGTGAATGCTTCACCAACGTACTAGAAATTCAAATAATCACAAACAGAACCTAAACACCTAACATAACCTAACCACTGCAAAAATATGAACAATATGCAAATGTATGAGCCCACCTGGAGCTGCCGTGAGGTACAGATGTGTCGCCTGGCCTCTGGTAGTTGGGGTGTTTACCGATTTTGTCGCCAGGGGGTGTGGGCATCTCTGCCCCCCTGCTGTTGCTGCCTGGCTACGTGTTGACGTGGCGAGCTTGCCATGGGAGGCCATCTTCCTCCTGTTGTGCGAGTGAACTCCGTGGGCCTGGAGTTCACTGGTCGTGCTGGATATGCGGACATCGAGATGGTTATGTGCGACATGCTCCGTGTCCCTGTGATGGCCATCTACGGTGTTGAGCTTGTACCTGCCCACCGGGTTGTTCTCAAGTTCGTGAGGGAGGAGGAGTACCATGACTTCCTCCGGCGTTACGAGGGGTGTTCGTTGCCGTTGTCGGGTGGTGCCAGCTCAGTGTCCATCTCGGACCGTAGTGGTGCCCTGACTTATGTCAGTGTGCATGGGGCGCCCTTGGAGTTTCCCGAGGACCTCCTCCAACGTTATGTCCAGAGGTTTGGCACTGTCGTCTCTGTGCGGGTGAACACGCTCTCCTCCGGGAAGTATGCAGGTAGGCAGACGAACATTCGCACCTTGGGGATGCGCCTGTGGTCGGATATTCCATCTTCTGTCCGGCATATGGGGTACTACGTCCAGGTGTACTATGCCCGGCAACCCCGTACCTGTTTCTGGTGTGGCCTGTTGGGGCATCAGGCTGCCGGGTGCACTGCGGCTCCGGTTGCTCCCATCAACCTGTTCCGGGAGGAGGATTTCCCGCCGCTCCCTCTGGAGGACTCCGGGGGTGAGGAGGTGAATGTCCCGTTAGCTGATGAGGCTTCCCCAGCATCGCCCGACCTTCCTCTGGTTGTCGCAGACCCTCCTCCAGATGTTGTGGTGCCGTCGGATGATTCTCCTGCTCCTGTCACTGGCACTGCTGCTCCTGTGGGCCTTCCTGGTGCTCCCCGTGAGGCGTCGCCGTCTTCTCACTCGTCTTCGGCTGCTGTGCCTGGCCCTGCATCCTCACCTCGGATCCCAGCTATGCTGGGTGCTGGGGTGGCTGCAGAGCCTCCTGCTGTGTGTGGTTCGGTTCCCCCTGTGGTAGAGGCTGCTGCCGTTCTGCGTCGAGCATCGGTTCGTTTGGCTGGTGGTGCCCGGGTTTCTGGGTTCGCTTCCGGCTCAGATGATATCCGGCCGGAGCCCAAACATTCCCGCCGTTCGTCTTCTGCCTGGGCCGATGTTGGGGAATTCAGTGCCTGTGGGTCTTCGAGTGTTACAGGTGTGGATACGGGTGTGTCGTTGTCTCCGCGGTTGGTGGTGGCAGAGGTCCATGAGCCTGCTGGTGCCCGTATCACGGGGGTGCCTTCTGTTCCTTCTCAGCCCGGGGACTCTCTGCAGTGGGGAGTGGTGGCTTCCACTGCCCAGGATGGTGTGGATGCTGGTACTGGGGGTAACCTGGTAGTGACCTTGCGGAAGGATGTGTACCGCCCAGGTTCTCTGCAGTCGTCTGGTGGTGTGCCCGTGGCCGCTGGTGCCCCTGTGGTGGTACCCAATGTCCGGTCCGTTCATGTGAGGACACGCGTTGGGGACCTGGGGGACGTGTTGCCGGCGTCAGTGATGCCGCCAGGTCACTGGAAAGAGATTGCCGCGTTGGTGTTGTTTGAAGGCGCGGCGGACTTTGAGGATGGGAGGTTTCCCTTGCTGTGGGGGCGAGTGGCAGTAACTTGCCTCAGAAGGGATACCATCTGGGTCCCCTGTTTGCAGGTGTTTGTTGCCGGGGTTCCGGATGCCATGGCGTCCTCGTTGGAAGTGGACGACCCTTGGCTGTGGTTGCGCTGGGAAGCGTTCCATGCACGGTTCCCTCGGGACATGTTTCCGGGCAAATATGTCCACTGATTTCCTATTTCTGTGCTTACTTTTGTACTGTGTGCCCTTCTGGCTGTTTGTTTGCCCTCTTATAGTTTGTGCCCGTGCCTCTCCCTTTGTTTGGGGCGAGGCAGGTGGTATGGTGTGAGTGTTTTTATTCATGTGTTTGTTTTTGTGTTATTACTTTGCCCTGTGTGTTCTATTCATGCTTTCATTGTTGTGACTGTGTATGCTGTGCTTTCTTGTAGTATATCATGTTGTTCATACTGATGTATTTGTTTGTCGGTCCTTCAGGCCGGTGATTTTGTTTTGTTGTGTTCTACACTGCTCTACTGTTTTATAATGTTACTATGTTTTTTTGTTTTGTTTTGCTTGCATTGATTGCTTGTTTGTAATTGTTTTCTGTTTTGCATCTTGTTGTGTATTTCTCATGATTACCTTATTACCTTCTCAATGTTTTGATAATTGTTGTTCTGGGCTGTCGGTCCTTCTGGCCGGCGGTTTCTTGGTTTTGTTATATTTCACTTGTTGTTTTATTGTATTCATTGTATTTCCTTTGCATGCTTGCATGCAAAAAAAAAATACAAAAAATAAACATATGCAAATATATAATAATAATAATAATTTATATATGAGAAAATTCCTATTTTCAATGAACAGCATGTTAAAATTAATGAATGAGTCCTTGGGGCCGACAGCTGGATGGAATGGACTTATTCCGAGGACGGTTGTTTACTATTGTAAATGGAATCAACGGATTGTACTACAAGCTTCCTGGATTATGTATGATTATATGCTGCAATTCATTACGGAAAAATAATTATGATATTAAATATCATTCATTAGCAGTAAAGAAAAACTAATCTCAAAAATATAGCTCAATATTACTTTGTTGATAATGTTAAAAACAAAGTGTGATAATTCTTGAAACATCTTGGCACCTCGAAAAGTAGTATTGCAAAGAAACCCTTCCCCCCCCACCACCCCCTTCGACTGAGCATATATATATTTAAGTATGAAGTATAATAAAATGTATTTAGCTTGTTTACGTTTTGCTATCTTTAACGACTGGTTATAGTTTGTTCATAGTATGAACACAAGTTTCCAACACCACTGGTCTAATCTCGGGCAGCCGGGGCGCCTCCGACCACTAGATCGTCTTTGCCCTCATCCAACGACAACAACAACACTAGAGGAAATATTACCTTGTGCCACAAACCCTGTTGTTCGAGGCGCTCCATGTGTGGCTCCAGCTTGTCCTTGTAAGCCTCCACTGCCGTCAGGTAATTCACACCCGTGACAATTATCACCAGACCACCTGCGGGACAGGATGAGTATTAGTACCTAAAGAAGGTGCTGCTTTTTAACACCCAGTGCTAGCAGGCGCTGCGCACCAGACCTGCCAGACAGTGTTCTTGAGCGTAGACGGTGTTATCCACCACCACTGGTGAGTGTGGATGGTGTTATCCACCACCACTGGTGAGTGTGGACGGTGTTGTCCACCACCACTGGTGAGTGTGGACGGTGTTGTCTACCACCACTGGTGAGTGTGGACGGTGTTGTCCACCACCACTGGTGAGTGTGGACGGTGTTGTCTACCACCACTGGTGAGTGTGGACGGTGTGGTCCACCACCACTGGTGAGTGTGGACGGTGTTGTCTACCACCACTGGTGAGTGTGGACGGTGTTGTCCACCACCACTGGTGAGTGTGGACGGTGTTGTCCACCACCACTGGTGAGTGTGGAAGGTGTTGTCCACCACCACTGGTGAGTGTGGACGGTGTTGTCCACCACCACTGGTGAGTGTGGACGGTGTTGTCCACCACCACTGGTGAGTGTGGAAGGTGTTGTCCACCACCACTGGTGAGTGTGGACGGTGTTGTCTACCACCACTGGTGAGTGTGGACGGTGTTGTCCACCACCACTGGTGAGTGTGGACGGTGTTGTCTACCACCACTGGTGAGTGTGGACGGTGTTGTCCACCACCACTGGTGAGTGTGGACGGTGTTGTCCACCACCACTGGTGAGTGTGGACGGTGTTGTCTACCACCACTGGTGAGTGTGGACGGTGTTGTCCACCACCACTGGTGAGTGTGGACGGTGTTGTCCACCACCACTGGTGAGTGTGGACGGTGTTGTCTACCACCACTGGTGAGTGTGGACGGTGTTGTCCGCCACCACTGGTGAGTGTGGACGGTGTTGTCCACCACCACTGGTGAGCGTGGACGGTGTTGTCCGCCACCACTGGTGAGTGTGGACGGTGATGTCTACCACCACTGGTGAGTGTGGAAGGTGTTGTCCACCACCACTGGTGAGTGTGGAAGATGTTATCCACCACCACTGGTGAATGTGGAAGATGTTGTCCACCACCACTGGTGAATGTGGAAGATATTATCCACCACCACTGGTGAGTGTGGAAGATGTTGTCCACCACCACTGGTGAATGTGGAAGATATTATCCACCACCACTGGTGAGTGTGAAATAGAGGGAATACAGAGAACATATACGGCACGCATAGACGAGATAAAACACCTAAATTATTGGGATCGTCTCAAAGCTCTCCAAATGTACTCTCTAGAAAGGAGACGAGAGAGATACCAAATAATATACACCTGGAAAATACTGGAGGGTCAGGTCCCAAATCTACACAGTAAAATAACAACGTACTGGAGTGAACGATATGGAAGAAAATGCAAGATTGAACCTGTGAAGAGCAGAGGTGTCATAGGCACAATCAGAGAGCACTGTATAAACATCAGGGGTCCGCGGTTGTTCAACGTCCTCCCAGCGAGCATAAGAAATATTGCCGGAACAACCGTGGACATCTTCAAGAGAAAACTGGACGGTTTTCTAAGAGAAGTTCCGGATCAGCCGGGCTGTGGTGGGTACGTGGCCCTGCGGGCCGCTCCAAGCAACAGCCTGGTGGACCAAACTCTCACAAGTCGAGCCTGGCCTCGGGCCGGGCTTGGGGAGTAGAAGAACTCCCAGAACCCCATCAACCAGGTATCAACCAGGTATCAACCAGTGTGGAAGATGTTGTCTACCACCACTGGTGAGTGTGAAAGGTGTTGTCCACCACCACTGGTGAGTGTGGAAGGTGTTGTCCACCACCACTGGTGAGTGTGGAAGATGTTGTCCACCACCACTGGTGAATGTGGAAGATGTTGTCTACCACCACTGGTGAGTGTGGAAGGTGTTGTCTACCACCACTGGTGAGTGTGGAAGATGTTGTCCACCACCACTGGTGAATGTGGAAGATGTTATCCACCACCACTGGTGAATGTGGAAGATGTTATCCACCACCACTGATGAGTGTGGAAGATGTTGTCTACCACCACTGGTGAGTGTGGAAGGTGTTGTCTACCACCACTGGTGAGTGTGGAAGATGTTGTCCACCACCACTGGTGAATGTGGAAGATGTTATCCACCACCACTGGTGAATGTGGAAGATGTTATCCACCACCACTGGTGAATGTGGAAGATGTTGTCCACCACCACTTGTGAGTGTGGAAGATGTTGTCTACCACCACTGGTGACTGTGGACGGTGTTATCCACCACCACTCGTGAATGTGGAAGGTGTTGTCTACCACCACTGGTGAGTGTGGAAGATGTTCTCCACCACCACTGGTGAGTATGGAAGATGTTATCCACCACCACTGGTGAGTGTGGACGGTGTTGTCCACCACCACCACTGGTGAGTGTGGAAGATACTGTCCACCACCACTGGTGAGTGTGGACGGTGTTGTCCACCACCACTGGTGAGTGTGGAAGATGTTGTCCACCACCACTGGTGAGTGTGGACGGTGTTGTCCACCACCACTGGTGAGTGTGGAAGATGTTGTCCACCACCACTGGTGAGTGTGGACGGTGTTGTCCACCACCACTGGTGAGTGTGGACGGTGTTGTCCACCACCACCACTGGTGAGTGTGGAAGATACTTTCCACCACCACTGGTGAGTGTGGAAGATGTTGTCCACCATCACCACTGTTGAGTGTGAAAGATACTGTCCACCACCACTGGTGAGTGTGGACGGTGTTGTCCACCACCACTGGTGAGTGTGGACGGTGTTGTCCACCACCACCACTGGTGAGTGTGGAACATACTGTCCACCACCACTGGTGAGTGTGGAAGATGTTGTCCACCACCACCACTGGTGAGTGTGAAAGATACTGTCCACCACCACTGGTGAGTGTGGAAGATGTTGTCCACCACCACCACTGGTGAGTGTGGAAGATACTGTCCACCACCACTGGTGAGTGTGGACGGTGTTGTCCACCACCACTGGTGAGTGTGGAAGATGTTGTCCACCACCACTGGTGAATGTGGAAGGTGTTGTCTACCACCACTGGTGAGTGTGGAAGATGTTGTCCACCACCACTGGTGAGTGCGGACGGTGTTGTCCACCACCACTGGTGAGTGTGGAAGATGTTGTCCACCACCACTGGTGAGTGTGGAAGATGTTGTCCACCACCACTGGTGAGTGTGGACGGTGTTGTCCACCACCATTGGTGAGTGTGGAAGATACTGTCCACCACCACACGTGAGTGTGGACGATGTTGTCCAAGAATACTCAGTCATTTCGGGTAGTGGTTCAACCCGTTATTGCTGGCGTTCCCAACGTCGTACTGAGGTGTCTTATCCTAACCTACAAGAGGACCCAAAACCGAAAACGAGACAGCATGTAAATTTCGCAAGCCGTTTCCCTTTTCTCTTACAATAATTTTTGGTTTTAATTGTGTATACATCAACATGTGACGCTGTGTTAGGGGGACGGGGTCACTTAGTCATGTGACGCTGTGTTAGGGGTACGGGTCACCTAGTCATGTGACGCTGTGTTAGGGGTACGGGTCACCTAGTCATGTGACGCTGTGTTAGGAAGACGGGTCACCCAGTCATGTGACGCTGTGTTAGGAGGATGGGTCACCTTGTCATGTGATGCTGTGTTAGGAAGATGGGTCACCTAGTCATGTAATGCTGTGTTAGGAGGACGGGTCACCTAGTCATGTGACGCTGTGTTATGAGGACGGGTCACCTAGTCATGTGACGCTGTGTTAGGAGGATGGGTCACCTAGTCACGTAACGCTGTGTTAGGAGGACGGGTCACCTAGTCATGTGATGCTATGTTAGGAGGATGGGTCACCTAGTCATGTAATGCTGTGTTAGGAGGACGGGTCACCTAGTCATGTGATGCTGTGTTAGGAGGATGGGTCACCTAGTCATGTGACGCTGTGTTAGGAGGACGGGTCAGCTAGTCATGTGATGCTGTGTTAGAAGGACGGGTCACCTAGTCATGTGACGCTGTGTTAGGAGGACGGGTCACCCAGTCATGTGACGCTGTGTTAGGAGGACGGGTCACCCAGTCATGTGACGCTGTGTTAGGAGGAGGGGCCACCTAGTTATGTGACGCTGTGTTAGGAGGACGGTGTGGGACATTTGGGGCTTGACTATTTATTTAATTATTAAAGTAATGAAATCAATTACGAAGGACCACCCGCTTTTATAGTAAAGAGGGAAACTAATAAAAAGTGATGATTGGAAATTCCTAGAAGGACCAGTGTCTATGGATAAATATTAGGAAATATAATCACTTGAGTAATTAATGGGCTGTATAAATAATTTACTTGAATCAAAGCCTCAAACACCTACATTGGGGGGTTATTGCTAGAACTTCATATATGTCTAGGAACTAGTGTGGTTCGTGCACCAGTTCATTGTGTAATAACCTAATCTTATGACCAATTAAAGAATCAATAGAAAATTCATCACCAATAAAGATATAGATGATTAACATCAGAAATTATTCATTATAATAAACACGTATTATCTCCAGTGTACAGCATTCCATAAATGATAACTAAAATACTGATAATTTGAATAATTAAAGAAATACGAAAAGTCTTAGCTTGAAGACGTTTTCGAAGACATCAGATACGAATCATCATCGGGATCTCCGGAATTCCTCGTAGAACACTGGGAGATGAATAACACGGGTAAAGTAACAGCTCGTGGATTCCTCACACGCGAGCTGTAATTTAAGGGATATTACGTAGCAATGTACTAGGCTACTAAATATCTATATTCAAGAAAATGGATATAAATTAATTTAGAATACTAACATGGGTTTTGTTTAAGTTGCTCGATGTAACGACAAGCTACCCTGCCATATACAATCTCTAATGATGCATCAAAAGGGAGTTATATATACTTAGCTAAAAGGGTACTGAATAAGTTGAGGCTTGCTGAAACCGCGTCCCAAGCTCTACCGTCACAATGGCGAACACGTGGTAGCTTGCTTGGCTTGGATGTCGAAGCGCT